GCGCCCCGGCAAGGCAGGACCGGCGCAGGCACTGGAGCCCGTGGGCAGGACGCGCCATGGAGCCGAGCCTGGAGGGCGCCTGCAGCCACTGCAAGGAGCAGGATGGGGTTGGGGGAGACGGAGCCCCCCAGCGGGAGCGCAGCCGGCCGGCCGGACCTGTGCTTCGGGGCGTTCAACGCCAGCGTCAGCCTCAATGAGACGCAGAGGAAAGCCATCACCTCGCCGTGGTTCTCCACTGCCTTTGGCCTCATCGGCCTCTGCTCCAACCTCTTCGCCCTGTGCGTCCTGCTCAGCTCCTCCCGCAAGATGTCCAGCCGGGCTCGTTCTTCCTTCCTTGTCTTCCTCTGCGGGCTGGTGGTCACAGACTTCATGGGGCTGCTAGTGACAGCCTCAGTCATCATCCCCTACCACTTCATCAAGTTCGACTGGGCCGAGGTGGACCCCGGCTGCCACCTCTGCAACTTCCTTGGCTTCTCCATGGTCTTCTTCGGGCAGTGCCCACTGCTGCTGGGGGCCACCATGGCTGGTGAGAGGTTCTTCGGCATCAACCACCCCTTCTCCCGCTCCACCAGCATCTCCAAGCGCCGCGCGTGGTCCATTGTAGGGCTGGTGTGGGGGTTTGCCTGCGTCCTGGGTCTCCTGCCGGTGCTAGGGCTGGGGAGGTACACGCTGCAGTACCCCAGCTCCTGGTGCTTCCTCACCCTCCTGCCTGACACTGGCAACGTCATCTTCTGCCTGCTCTTTGCCTTGCTGGGCATCGTCTCTGTGTTGCTCTCCTTCATCTTGAACACAGTCAGCGTGGTGACACTCTGTCGTGTCTACCATGACCGGGAGTCAGTGCAGCGGCGCCGGGACAGCGAGGTGGAGATGATGGTGCAGCTCGTGGGCATCATGATCATCGCCACCATCTGCTGGATGCCCCTTCTGGTGAGGCCCTGGGCCTTTGGTGCTCCCCACCACCCTACACCCTCCCTGGCACCCTGCAGGAAGATAGGTTCAGCCCCGAACTGGGGATGAGGGGGGAGAGGATGCTTGGAGTCCTTCTGCAGCCAGCTCAAAGCTGCCTGCTGAGACTTTCCTCTTGGCTGTGCTGGACAGTAAAAGCCTCCCTGACTCTGCTCAGAGCGAGGCCCAAAGGCAGAGGCATGGCAAAGGCAGTAGTGCCCAGCAAGTGCAGGTGCCCATGCCAGGCTTGCTGTGGGTGCTGGCTGTCCCCTCGGCAGTGGGTCCCCAGCAATGAGTGGCACAGGTTCAGCCAGCACCTTCCCAGCCTTGGTGGCCAGTCTGG